GTGCATTCGCTGCGTCGCGGCAATTTGGTTCCACGAGAGATGCGCGTTCGGCTTTCTCCGATCCCTGCACATCCCTTTGCCGTTTCGGCGAGAGTGTGGTCGGGTCGCCCCGCTGTCGGCGCTCGATGCCGTCGATTAGCAGCGCTGCGCCTCGCGCCTCCTGCCAAACGCGGACGTCCAAGTTCAAGATCGAAATAACCTCGGCCGACTAATGACCAGCGGCTCTAATGCCGATCGCGGAAATTGGCGAGGCGCTCCGCGGCCTTCGGCGCGCGCGCGCGCGCGCGCCTCCGTTCCTCTCGCCGTGCCGCGGGGACGGCGGCTTCCAAGAAAGCCTCCCGACTCGAGGAAAGCGAGATTAGCCATGAGTCACGCGCGCGCCGCGGCTGCACTCCTCGATTCGCCATCCGAACGAAGCGACGCGAGCCGTTATTGTCCTCCTTCGCGCTCCAAGGTGCACCTTTATTCAATCATTTTATCCTCGCCGCGCTCGCTCGCGCGCGCCGATGCTAATCCGCTCGATTTATCAAGTCGATCGTTACACTTGTTTATGGGCGACTCCAAGGCTACGACACGCTCGCCGCTGCAAATAATTTCATTAGCCTGTACCTATGCGCGCTCGTAAACAATGTTCTTCTTGGGTGTGAAAATTTGCATTCTCGCGGCACGTCTGGTATCCGCGCGTGACGCGACCAAAAGAAAATTAGTCGATGCGTCTTACGTAAGGCAATTGTTCGTGTTGTTTTGACGATCGACGATCGACGACGAGCGAGAAAATCGATCGCGAGCCGCTACGTCGAGTTGACGAGCATCCCGAGCTATCCCGCGTACGGAGCCTGGCCTGTACGGGAGATCCCGCGGAGATCTCAATCTCGCGCGACGAGCCTCGGCGAACGCGAAATGACCGCGTCATCCGAAGCGAAAGAAAACGGTGAAAAAAAGGGGCTACTACGACCGCACCCGAGGACCACATCGAGCGGACGTCGATTGTCAGCCACTCGTTCGCCCCGTGTGCGCGTGCCCTTGTGAAATCAGACACTGCAGTCTGGAATTTTTCTGCCTCTCTCCATACGCGCAAGGGGAACAGAAACGCTTTCATTGAAACCTTCCTCGCTTCAATGAAAGGCACGGAGCCGCTCTTCTAATCTAATCCCCCACGGCAATGCGGGTGGAGAGATAGGCATCGTCGTCAGTTCGATCTACCGTCGGCTTTTTCCGTCGACAGGTATACAGATATGTATAAATAGCTTCACGCTGGATTTATTATTTTTAGGAAATAGCTTCGACAATCTAGATTTTTGGCTGTCAGTTGTGACTTCGACGTTAAAAAAAACAGTAACAAATCTCGTTGCTTTCGTCACATGCCAGGCCATCGGCGGACAACTCGCATTCCACGAGTTTCCCAAGCTCAGGGTACGGGCTCACCGATTGATTTTGAATTGGCAATTTCAACCACTCGGCAAATCTCATCGGTGCAGGTTCCCGACCTTTCAGCGGAACTTGTTTTTCCCGAAAAATGCAGGGTCCACCGGCGCCGACGACCGTACACTCGGGGCTGGCACTGTCTCGCCCAGATGTTCCCAGCGCAGCCGAAGCAGCCCAGCGAGAATCGAAGACAATCACGACGCTACGGTAGCGCGCTTCGATTGTCGCGTGCACATGCGCGTGCATTTGGCGGTCGCCTGTCCTCTACCGCTGCGCCTCTGGTTTCTCATTTAGCATCGAATGAGCTCTACCGATATGACCGCGTATTAAATTCGCATCGGCATTCGGCTCGTCTGAAATATTTAACGATTCCGTGCGCGTCCTTTTCTTCTTTACTGTGCGATTTTGCTTAAAACATTAGCCGACTTTTCCATCGAAAATCTTCCGGATTAACTCCCGGCTATTTTTATACAAGCAAAAATAATATCCGGCTATATTGAATTTCTTTAATTCAACGAGGAATATTCGAGCTATGACATTTTTTCTCTCTTTATTTATACTATTGTTATTATTACTTCTAATTACTTTGAGGAAGAAATAAGAAAACGTGATTTCGCAAACAAGTGACCAACGTTCTGGGCAAATCATTTATTTTTTAGTAAAAAACAATTCTCTAACAATAGTAAAGGAGCTACGACACGACGATCGCGATACTCGTCAGTTGTCGGCAACCTCGCCGGAAAAACTGACAGACCGCCGTTGCCAGTGTCGTTTCGTTCGAGCGTCGATAAACGAAAAGAAAAAAAAAACGCGCGACTACCCGGTCACGCGAAAAATGTTCAACGCGGGGATCCTCGAGCCCGGTGCCTGAAATAAGCCACGGCGCGAGCGGATCCTCGGCCAAATCCGCGAAAATAAATCAATAAGCGCGGGCTCTCGGGTTTCGGCGTCGCGCGCGCGAACTCGGCCAAGAATACGCGCTTTTCCGCGCCAACAGCTGCAAGGCTGCCGCGCGCGCTTCTCTCGCGCGCGCTCCAGGCGCCACTGGCAACCGTATCGGCGACTAGTCGACCACTCGTACGAGCGATCGCGTTAACGATGTCGACCGCCGAAATCTTCCGTCGCACCGAGCGTGGACGTCACGGGATAGCGCGAGCTAACCGAAACGAGGCAAAGCGAGCGAGTCCTAACGAGAACTGAGCCGCCGGGCGCGCGCGCGATTAGCATTCGTTAAAGGCGAGCTGAAAAGTCGCGAGGTTCGCGGAACGAAAGCGAGAAGCGAGCCGCGGTGACTTTCTAAAAAGATGATAAATGCAGCGGGAAACGGAGAAACGCGACGGCGAAGAAATGCACGCGTCGGAGCGCTCGAAAGAGAAAGGGGAGCCGAGCGCGCCTCTCGGAAATCCCTGGGCGATACTTTCGAGAAGCCGAACTTTGGGTGTTCGTTAAAGGCCGCTCGGTTGCTTTTATCGTTTTGGCAAGCGCGAGCCGCGAGTTCGTCGAAACGGACTGTCGAAATTCGCGCTTGCCGGCCGAAAATATTGCCGCGAGGGGTGGGGGGGGGGGGGGGGGGTGGGCTCCGTCGCGCGAGCTGCTCGAAATTTCCGCGTGATTTAAGCAGCCCCCCGCTCGCTCGTGGCTCGCACCGCGTGGAAATTCACGAATTTACCAGCCGCGGCGCTTCGAGAGAAAACGCGCGTCGCTTCCCGACGCTCGATCCGCGCGCCCGTTGCGCTTTCGCTGGCTCTCTTAATTTCCACGAATGAGGCGTATTTCGCTCAAGCTCGCGCCGACGTAGCCGAACGAGATATCGGGTTTGATTGAGATGCTGGCACTCGATTGTCGCTGCAATCCGAGACTGCGAAACTGGACGTTGTTCGATAACGAGTCGAGACGATTACGAGACTCCGAGTTCGCGGGTAAGGACATTGCCAAAGGCATCGAGTGAATTCCGCGCGACAAGGATGCGCTCTTGCTCGCTGCGCCTTCTCTCTCCGCGCGCTCGAGCAGCCTGACCCCGTTGGCCGTTTTCGGACGAGCGCCTGCAAATAGAACGATCCGCGCGCGCGGAGGGAACCTCGCTCTTGATTGTCAGCGATTAAAAGGAAGCTGGCTCTCGCCTCGCTTTCGAGGGCGGCTGAGTGGACGAAAAGCAGCGCCGTGGCGAAATCGTTTTTTTGTCTCTCTTCTTGTTTCTCGCGACGCGGAACGGAGTGCACGTTGGAATAGTCGAGTCTTCAAAGTTCGACCTGCATTCGCAATCTTAATTAAATTTAACGGCGCAATTATCTCGTTGCCGTACGCTTTCCGGCAAGCTCCGAGTTGCCAACGACCATGTGGGAATCCCAGAACCAAGTTATTTCGCGCGGGTAAACGCGCGCTTCGCAAATATTCGAGCGGACGAAGTGCACGGCGCGGCGTTATCGGCAGCCGATCTGCCAACGACGATACCGCGCGAGTAACTCGTCACTCCCCGGCAAATGAAATCTTCGCGAGCATAAGATTATCATGGAGCCGGTCTCATTGTCAAATCGAGCTCGCGAACAACTGCAGCCTTGCCCGTCATTGGCGCGCGGTCATTATTATCGGAGTGTGCCCGCGCGGAACGGGTTTTCCCGTTCTGGCGCACTGCTCTCTCTCTCTCTCTCTCTCGCACGCACACTCGCTCTCTCGCGGGCGTATAATGTTTGCCGAGCGCGCGGACGTGCACGACGCGGACGCGCCTTTCGACGACAGATAAGAGCGGATAAAGACCGGAATCGTAAAGATAACCAATTGGCGCATCGACAGGCTGGCAATCTCGCCACTGAAGTTCGGCTCTTCTCGGCAAAGGACGGAATTGCGACCGCGGTCGCGCGCTGTAATTAATGGCAGATATTCATCAGAAGCTTTTTCTCTCGGTCGACGCGCAATGGGCAAATCCGTCTGATGGAACGGCGAAGGTCGTTTTGAGTGGAAGGTCGATCTCAATCCAGCGAAATTGAAAAATCGATATTTGAAAAGCAGATTGCATCTTTCTAATCGCACGGATTGAATATCTTGCGCAAAAATTGATATCGTTTTGGAAAAAAAAAAAAAAATGCAAAAAAAGGAAGTTTCAAAGTTTCATATTAACATTTTAATGGCAAGCATGTACCGTAACGATCGTTTCTGTTATTCATGACGTCCAAGTAAATTCGAAAAAAAGCTTGTTCCTAATCCGACTGACAGAGCAAAACTTTGGCACCGACAGACTTTTGTTTTTGTTTTGGCAAATTTGATTTTATAAGACATTTTATTTTGATTAATTATTACCGCTTGAATATCAATAAAATACATGTACGTACATTCATTTTATTTATTTTTATTCTGCGCGAATGCAAAGGTTTGTCTTATTGAGATTAACAATGTCGTGTCTCCATCTAACCCAAAATAACGAAAACATTCAAATCTCATTCATACAAATGACATCTACTTTACCATCATCAACTTTCAGGATCAAAAGAAAAATTTGTACGACAAAACCGATAAAGTAGAACATCTCTACCTCCATACTCTAACAGATGTCAGCCCAAGTTAGTTCCACTAGTAATTTTATCATTGAGCTGCTTGCTAGCCGTATCGTCGTCGTCTAAGGCGAATACACAGCTGAAAGCCTACCATCAATAAAAACAGAATAAAAAAAGAACTGTCTCGACCGACGCACCTTTAATAAACACTAATCCACTCACACCTACATCTGTTGAGATACAATCGACTCTTCCTCCTACGCGACCGACACTCACACACACGCTAATACGTTATAACGCACAGTGTGAAAAAAATATAGTCAAAGTGTGTGGTTGCGTCCAACAACGCTCGAAGAGTCGCACCTCCTTCTGCTGACATGACGTCATGGGAGCGGTCCTCGTAAGAGACTCAGTAACCCGCGGATTTGCGGGACTGGTTTGATGTGCACATGGTGAATTTAACAGCTATTTGCAATTAAGCTCGCTTAACTACGCTGTTCCATACTCGCTGCTCCGTTACAGCTATCCTGCGAGTTACTTTACTGTTTTGACACTTGTTTTGATTTTATCTGAATTTGTAATGTTTGTTATTGTTTCGTCTAGATGCAATGAGTTATTAATTGTTGACGCAATCTTGCACCGTAATTTTACATTGTAAAAGGTAGACAGTAACTGCTATTTGATTCATTTGTGAGTTTTCGTATGTAGTGCTATATATAGTTAAAATTAGTAATGTTGCTTTAAAAGTTAAAGCATCAATGGCTTCCTTGGTACAAACTTTCCTTACCTTTTACTTCTCAAATATTGATTTTTCAATTTAAGTAAGTTTTTCTCAATCTCTAGAACAATATTGCAAGTGCTTCTTATCATTTGTATAACGTGGAAGTTATACTTGTATTTTATTAGTACTAAACTTTTGGTTTCAATTTCAGAGTATAGCCTGATTGAATATTGAAACACTCGAGTTATGTCACAAGTGACTGTACCGTCACCTGGAATGGAACGCAGTATTCATGAAATGTTAAAGGATGCTCCATCCCTCAATGAAAGTGACAGTGCAGTGCACTCTGGAACACCGCCACCTCATGTGCCCAATAATAGTAGACCTAAAGAAACTCCATCAGCAACAAGACCAGCAACAATGAATTTGACTGTTAATGCCTATGGCTCTCAATCATGTAAGTTGATAAGAGATATTGTTATTGATTCAGCATGCACACTATCATGTTCCATGAGTGTTTAGACACTGTCAGGACTAAGATAACATTTATTGTCATTCGTTTAATAGGTTTTTCATTTGCAGTAACTACCACTCCCACTTCACCAATACAAAATGGAGATACTCAAGGTATGCGAGGTGCTCAGAGCAAAATTGAAACAATAAAAAATTGGAGTATTTCTACTTATAAGTGTACCAAACAACGTGTTTATGAAACGTTTGGAAAGACTTCTCGCACGGTAGATTCAGGTAATAATGTAATAAATAACAAAATGCAAGTTAATTTATAAAAATATTACATTTCAAAATTGCTTGCATATTTTAGAACTAGAAACTCAAATAGAATTGTTACGTGATACGCAAAAAAAGTACTGCAATTTATTGAGATTATCTCGAGCACTCGCATCGCACTTTCATCACGTTGTTCAAACGCAGCATGCACTGGGTGAAGCATTTTCCGAGTTGGCTCAGAAATCACCGGAGTTACAGGAAGAATTTCTATACAATGCGGAAACGCAAAGAAACTTGACCAAAAATGGAGAAACACTCCTAGGGGCCTTAAACTTCTTCGTTTCGTCTGTGAATACTCTTTGCAATAAAACAATCGAGGACACGCTTATGACCGTCCGACAATACGAAACTTCTAGGTAAACACCTTTTAAAATACGTGGTTATAGTAAGTAAATTGTTTAGGTAATAATTTGAATGTTTTATATTTTACAGAGTAGAGTACGATGCATATAGAACTGATTTAGAGGCTTTAGCACAGGCTGCTAAAACCGACGGAAATAATATAGCTAGATTAGAGGAAGCAACACAAAATTATGAATTACATAAACAGCACTTTGAGAAACTGAGATCCGATGTTTCTATAAAATTGAAGTTCTTAGATGAAAATAGAGTGAGTATCTCTCAAAAATGTACATATGACACTTCTTAATTATGATATATATATATATATATATATATATATATTGTTAATTTCTTGTAGATCAAAGTGATGCACAAACAACTTCTTCTCTTCCATAACGCGATATCAGCTTACTTTTCTGGAAACCAAACAGCTTTAGAAGCTACACTAAAGCAATTCAATATAAAAGTAAAATCTCCAAATTCCTCGTTGCCGTCGTGGCTAGAGCAGTAATTCACAGTCATTCGATCGAATTTTATACATTCCTACAAAAACACCCTTCAACGAATTTGTGAATTTAGATACACATATCTGTTGTTAAAATAAGAGACGAAACGAGGGATAAAGGTAAAGCAGCTCGACTGGGATTGGGAGAATAAACAAAAAAAATAATAGAAATAATAAAAAAGTTTTATAGGAAAACTCGCTATTCTTGCACTCGAGTACATGAAAATACCTGTAGCTAGGACTTTAAAAGCATTATCTGATAATGTACAGTATTCTCAAAAAAATTTTATATCACATTTAATTTATCTTTCTGAGGGAAACATTATGCGTTTCCTAGTATCTTGTCGAAAAGCAATGATAGAATTAAAGCTGTTTTCTGTTCGCGCACACGATAACACAAGTATATTGCGTGAACTTATTTTATTAATATACTTTGAGGGAAAATTATGGAAATCTAAATTTTCATAAATTTCAAATACGCTATTTTTTACAGATAAAAAATCTTAGAAACGATAGTTTGTATCCAAAATAATACGTAACTCGCAGTATTCAACAAAAGAATGATTGTTTTACGTAAGTTTTACGTTTTTGTAGAATAGATCAAACCAAACTTTCTCTCGATAAAATCGAGCATGATCAGTGTTATAAAATATATTCAAAACGGAAAAAAAGATCTAAAACAATAATTCATACGTAGGAAATTGAAATATGACTAGTCAAACAGTTTATAACGTTCAACAATTGTTTAAAACTGTAAGTGAATTAAATAGCAGAGATTTTACATTGCGATGTATCTTGGACAGATTTATCAAGTATTAAGGTTTGCTTTTTAAACCTACGTAGATATGTGGAAAAAAGGTGTTTATACTTGAATATTGTTTGCAAGACATATTAAGTCAAAAATACGTCCGTTTTAATACGCAGGACTACTAATAAGAATAATTTATGTGAAAAAAGTTATCGCTGTTACTGCAAAGATTTATTTAAAAAGCGATAAATATTATTTATTAACATATTCCACATGCTTAACTTATTTTATTTGTTAACATCAAATCATCGACAATTTTTTTAAAAATAATTTTCGCGATTAAGTAGTAAGATTTGAAATTATTGAAGATTTCTTGTAGAGAAAAACTTTTATAAAAACCTGAATGTTTAAACTTATACATTACTGTACTTTTGAGTGATATCGAATCAAATGTATGGTACATTTTTTATTATCATCCTATCACTGTGACTATCATATTAATCTAAAAGTCTATAAAATAAAAGTCATGAGTATGTTCCTTCGTACAAATATATTTTTAGAGTTTCGCTTTGATGCCCCGACATATTTAATTTTTAACTTGAGAAAATCAAGCGGAAATATCCAAGTTCGCTTATTAACACTTCGATAGAAGCTTACCAACTTTTGTATTGCGAGGCACTCACATGTAAACACATACAAGCGAAACGAGTGACTAAGGAAAAATTGGACTAAGTGTTTGTGTGTACAGTATATTTGTGACAAAAAAAGAAAATGAAAATTATTGTAGAAATGGAACAGACGTGGAAAATAATCAACGTTAGTTTTTCCAACTTTCGACTATGTACCTATATGCCTGTAATCGAAACTCGTTGACATTTTTTGAGTAATTAAAAGATTATCGGTTTCTCTACAGAAGTGAAAAATTTCCTTTGTACCTTAATGTATTCTAAACATTATATTGGTTTGTTATGATTTTGGATTGTGATTTTTTATACTCGATGATTTATTTAACATAATTTTTGACTTATATGTAAGTTTTGCCACATTTGTTTTTATACGTTTTTTATATTATTTTGTTAATGTAATGCGTTTTTTGTGCGTTAATTTGACAATTTGGACAATAGTTGATGAATTTTTAATAGAAAATTATGTACATTTTGATACTATCAGTTCAAAATAAAACAGATATTATACATTTATTACGTTTATTCTTTCCACGAATTTTATCATATGTACCTCTATTCACCGCGAATTTACAAATACTTCGTAAAAATGTGAACGTCGAAAAAGATTTTTTTAAATTAACATGACATCGAATTTCTCATATCAATTATGAAAATTTTATACTTAACATTGAATCTGAAACGATGAATAATATAAAAATCTATCAGAGATATAAGTGGTTCTTGAATCAAAAACATAGCATCATAAATTTTTTTTCACTTGATTAAATTCATTATTTAAAAAAAATTAAATAATTTCTTTTTTTAAACAAAACAATGTTATTCAAAATTATAAAAAAAATAAACATTTTAGAACACTTGACCATCGCATTACCAACAATGTACGACGAGTACATTTCGCTGAAATATATCGTAGTTAACGAGCAGAACGGCAACATTTTTAATGGTTGGAAGGACTTGAAAGCGATTTCTCAGGGACGAAATTAACGTTAGCTTGCGCGCGCGTGAGCTGCACTTGCAACCTTCCCCTCCATAGCATTTTCTCTCTAGCCTGCACTCGACATCGATCCGCAGCATTAACTCTCTCTCTCTCTCTCTCTCTCTCTCTCTCTGCGTACAGGTAGGGGATGCAAACACCTATACACACAGCTGTTACGTATGCACGTTTACGGCAGCTCGTGAATGGTCAAGAAACAAAAAATAAACTCGATATTGCATGCGAGCGCGAGACCGAAACGATTGGCAAAATGTTTGCTGGCTTATATGCCGAGAGGATGTTTTATTGAGGCAATCATCATACGAAATGGATAACTTGAAATTTTACGAAGTACGTTTCGTATCAAGCAAAAAAACAAATGGGATTCTTTTACGGCAATGAATTTTCATCGCTGCCAAAATAGCTCAAAATTACATCGACTCGAGGCATTTAAAAAAAATCTTATTAGTTCTTCAGGCAGCTTCGAAAGACGTATAGAGGCGCCATTCAAGGATATGCCAAATAAAAAAATTTTTATCGATATCTTGTTTTGAAGACAACTGAAACATTAATTGAATTGTAAATAAGAAATAGGCATTTCCTTTGGTAACGCCCATCCTCGAACAGCATATGTCGTGTAATTTTCATCGTCAATCATCTTAGCCTCGTTTTTGTTCTGTTGTAAAAACACAAATGCCAGGTGTATTAAATAAAAATGTACGTGCTTTTTTTCAGATTTGCAAATTGCTCTTTATTAATCCATAAATATTCTCCGCCCATACTATCTTTCTGTGCACTGTTTTTTATATTTTTTATCATTTTTTTTTCTTTTAAATTGTTTGTTGTTTTGCACGGTTTTTCACTCAGTATCGTCATTATACACATTTTGGGACTCTTTAATAACAATATATTCATATAACTTAATAATGTATAATAGCGCGCTATACTTAATAAGTCATTATCATCGCTCGGACATAAACATGCCACACTCATATTCCTCTCACACATCTTCGAATTCAAATTATGTGTGTGTATGTGTACGTGTGTGTGTGTGTGTGGGTGATAAACAGTTTTAGCGATCATCATACTTAAAGATTTTTTCTTTTACTTTATCGCTATACTCGTTCATAAATTCATTCAGTTTATATATATATATATATATATATATATATATATGTATATATACATATATATATAATTATTTATATAATATTAATAATTATGTTGTAAAAAAACATCAAACATTTTTGTCGTCATTTGTACGCTGCCGTGAGCCTTCGATACCCAATCATCATATCCAGACGGGCGCCACACGCCATCTATATTTATATGTATGCTTTATATATATAGGGCGACTTATTTTTCTTATTGCATGGTACTGTATACGTTTTTTTGTTTTATTTTTACTTCTTCACAGTAACAAAATTACATCCATACTTATATCGACGATCACAACATCCTTACGCCTTTTTCTCTTGCATTGCCCGTCAGTTGTTTCTTTCTTTTAAATTATAATAATAATATGAATCCACGCGCAACATTTATATTTGTCTGTCGCGGCAACTACTAAAAAACACTGGCCAAGGTGTGCGCGCGCGCTACGAATTTGTGTTACTTATAATTGAGTTTAATGAACGTGTTGTGTTGTTTTTTTTTGTATATTTTTCTTCTGCTATTTAGCTAAGGTAAAAAGGGAGGTTCGTCGCGATACTCTCTCGAGTGCGGTCCCCGCAGAGGATAGACAATCTTTGTACAATTTTGCTTTGACAACAAATTTTTGTCCATTAGCGAGCTTTTTCTTATTAGTCGCATAAATTATGTATGTACAATTGTACATACACGCACACTCCGATACATAAGAGGTAAAAACAAACGAATACACGCACGCTCTGCTGATCGCCAAACGAAAGAGGTGAGCGAGCGAGATTGTAAAATTCACGCTCAGCTGCGCCGCAAGAGAGAAAGAGAACGAACCCACTTTGATTGAATTATTATTGCTTACTAAAAGTTGAAACAAAAGTCTGGGTTTTCTACGTGGGCCTTCTCTCGCTACAACTCGATTCGTTGCGATTTCCACATTTTTTCCCTCAGGTATTACAGTAGTAATAATAATTATTATTAATGAGAACTGGCGCTCGGAGCTTCGGAGTATACAAATTCGCCTATTGTGTACACCAACCATCGGTTGGTTCTATTAATGTATATATTCATATAGTATTTATATATATATATATATATATATATCAAGTTGATCACAATGCTTTTTTATCGAGATTTTTTTGTTTGTTTGTTTGTTATATCCTTCTTATTACACACTAACTATTACACGAGATAAAACAGGAAAGAAACTGAAAGAATCTGCCGCTACAATATTGGTCATATTGTTTATCAATATCAATATGAATGTATATAATTTCCCATTACAACACGTCCTACACACAGTTTTCCAGCAGCTATTCTATAGATACACATTATATATATATATGTATATATGTATATATATGTATATATATGTGTATATATATATACACTTGAGCATGTGTGTATATATAAAAAAAAACATTTTTCGAAGATAGGGAAGAATCAACTAACATCGTACAGTGGGCGATATCTGCACTTTAGCATTGTCGTTCGATCATTCAACATAGATAACTTATATGGTAGCACGTCGTCATTACCGTTGAAAAAATATAATGAAATGAAGACGCGCATTCAAACAGTTATTATAATCATGAAAGAAAAAGTTAAAAAAATATACAATATAGAATATGCGTGTGTAATATTATGTTATGTCTTTTTTATAAGCAATATAATACGTACTTTAATAATTTTTTAAACTTTTTTTATAACCTTTCTACAGCTTTTGTAGTTTTTTTGTCATTTGTTGTTAAGACTTATCATGCATCTTACTCTCGGCTTTTTTCTACTCTCGTTTTATTACGCCTATCTAAGCTATCTCTATATTTATATATATGTTGTTTTTTTTTGTTGCCGTTGGGTAAAAAGCGAGACACAAAAAGTAAACGCACGTTTTACGCAACTTAGTGGCAGATCTACGCATACATCGAGAAAGGGAAAAACTACGCACACATCGCTGAAAACGCGCAACATGAGCAAAGCGTAAAAAGGAAAATGCACGCGCACACGCGCACACGCGTACACACAGACACACACGCGCGTATGTATGTGTATATATATATATATATATATATAGGCAGGTACGAAGAGAAAGAGAGGAGCATTTTTTCTGTTAGATAAGATATAACACGTGCCAAGCAGGTGTGAGCGTGTATACATATTCTTATCACCAGCTCGTGCTCTGCTCCCCCTCCCCTCTCTCTCTCTTCCCCTTTTATTTCAGCATATATTGCGCGCTCGTCCAAATGACTTGTTTTGCTTTGTTCCCGTATTTGTGTTTCAATCGTTCTTTCCTTAAGCTGCGTGCATTGCACGCGACGCGACACGCTGTCTAGCAGCTCTCAAAGGAGCGATCGTCCCACCCGAGTCGTCGCCGAGGAAAGAAAAGCGCGTACTTTGTGTTTCCCTGATATTTACAGCGAGCTCTCCCGAAGACGCATCAACAACGGAATCTCGGCAGCGGACGTCTCCGGCTGAGGCTAACGTTAAGATTACGCGGAGTTGTCCGACACAACCGACGTTCTGCTGCGGCTGCAGCAGCGACAGTAGCAGCAACCTCCAGTGCCAAGTGTGAGGTTTAGGAGTCTACTGCTGGAGACTCGCAACAACAAGTTCTCTTTTTTGTGTCTCGCTTTCTCGGGAGAAAATGAAGAAGAGCATGAAGAAGGAGATAGATTAGAGCAAGAAGGTAGAGTTACAACAGTTTCGCAGCACGGAATTGGACTAACAAGTTCGTCGATGCGTCTGCGCCCCGACGAGCGATCACGCTGAATTTTGTTGAACAACTCTCACGTGTAATATAGTCGTACATTAACCGTGCAAATCGTCGTGCAAAGAACGATGGGTGTGGGTTGTGTTTTGTCGCAAGCGACGGGGTTTTTCTTTTAAATACAGGGGAGGGGAAGGACGTCGTTGGTGCGCGGTTTTACAACACCCTGGCCTGTGTTGTTTTTTTTTTTTGTGTGTGTGCGCGCGCGTGCGTGCGTGCGTGCGTGTGTTTGTGTGAGATCTAGGGACTAGCATTTGCGGTTGTTGTTGGCGCCGCTATTGTTGAGCCGCAGCCGGTCCTGGCGACGAGGACGCCGACCTTTACCCGATGAGCCCACCTCCCACACCTTGTTTGATCGTTCAAGACGGTTACGTTTTGCTGACTGCGATGTGCGCTTTTCCAGCATCTGCAATTAGTACAGCTATCTTTTAGAATGATTCATCACTGCCATTAGGTTAGTTTTATACCTCGAGCGCAGTGGAAAACTTTACTCTTGTCGTGCGTGCTCTTTTTTCTTTCTATCTCTCTTTCATTGCCGTTAATTATGGCAGTTTATGTGCTCAAAAAATGTATAACTATTGCCAATTATGCATTGAAATAAATGGAAAAGTTTGGTTTTTTCCGTCACTGAGCTTATAATGCCTCGTTAAAGCGCTCAATGATATATATTATATTTTTAAAGTTTTTCATTTACTTTTGAAAGATAAACGACCTTTAATATAAATATCTACCAACATACTCTTATTAATACGACAGGTTGGTTATACTATCCACACATCTAAATGTTTCAATGAAAAAATAAAAGAAGAAAAGCAATATGAAGAAAACGTAATTTGGATTTCTAAAGACAATAAATATTAAATTTTACATTTTGAAAAGAACACGAACGAAAAATTACACAAGCATTCAGCGGAAACTTCTAATTTTCCTTTTACACAATAATGGAGCAGAGCGTGGAATATTCCAAACGATGTAATCGCGTTTATATACACATATCGCACCGTCGCCGGGTACTTGGGTAAAAGCTAAATTTAGAAATGAAACAATTCGTTTTGTCTTTTGTTCTCGTAGAGCGTGAATCAAGTAATTTACAAATCCTAGAGCTGCCTCTTGACAAATCGGCCGCGTTCAAGGGTAATTAGATGTCAGTGTTGACATGTGCACGCCTTCCAAGTATGACAGTTCATCAACGCGCCACGCGCGTCACGCGTCTTCGAAACTCAAGCTAAGCTTCCACTATCCTCTCGAAAAATCAGAAGTACATCTCACCTTCTGAGCAGATCGGATCTGGGAGATTCTCACGCTATCGTCAGCCCTGGCATTTCTCGTCTCCCTAACATTGGTCCCCCTAACAGGCTGTTGCTCAAGAAGCTGCTGTCGAAGCTGCTGCTGTTGCTGGTCCTGCTGCTGCCGCTGCTGCTGCCGCTGCTGCTGACGCTCCTGCTGCTGCCTGAGCTCCGCTCGCTCCAACTTGTTCAACTTCTTGGCGGCGGCCTTCTGAGCCCTTGCCACGTTGCCTGCAGTCACGGCGACAACCTGCACCGGCTGCAGTTGCACGTTGCTCAACGGCGGCGAGCGTCTCTTCGACGGCTGATTGCGAGCCTTCTCCTGCTGAGATTTGTTGTCGGGGTGCAGGGCCTTCTTGCCCGCCGACCTGTACACCGACATGCTCGGATGCTCGATCAGCAGGTTCTCCAGAGGCGACGTCTCCACGTGCACCGGGCTCGGTTGGGTGAAGCAGGCCGGCGGCGTCACGTACCACGACTCGTCCATCCCCGTGAATCCCTCGACTGCGGAGAGCACAGAGCATAGGCAACGGTTGAGTGGACGGTTGGTCGACGCGCGACGCGAGAGAGCATGTAGGCAGCACGGTTACCGTGAGTGTCGATGAACACCCAGTCGTCGCCCTCGACCTCGATCTGCCTGAATCTCGTCTCGTAGGGCAGCGAGGCGGCGCCGCCTGCCGCGCCTCCCTCGTTCTCCTTGTCGGCGCTGCCATCCTCCGCGTCGCCCAACAGGTAACTCGCCAGCCTGCTCCACATGTCGACCTCCTTGCTAATTCCCTTTCTGCAACACAGCAAAGCCACATTTTTTTTTCCTTCGTCAGTACTCGCCGGCAAATGGCTTCTCTCGCGTTTCATCGCGGTGCGCCTCTCCTTTGTCTATTGCGTGCAACTGAATTCATTTGCCAGTCAAAGCCTACCTCCCCCCCCCCCCCCCGTAGCCGTCGCTCTAGATGGGGCAAAAGCTGCGTGTTCAAATTCAAAGTCAATTGAATCGCGGAGCTTTGGAAGCATTCAGCACAGCCGCAACGCCCCTCACGGGTTTTCTTTTATCTCCCCGAAAGTCTAAAAGCGAACGTGACCTACTGCGACCAGACTGTGCACGTGCGCGCAATCCAATTTCACGCAATCGATTTTTTTTTTCTCTCTCTCTATTTAACGTCACGCGACGACAGTGCTTTGTTATTCATGAAAAAAGCCGTAAAAAATATAATTAAGCCTTGCAGGCACAAGGTCAAGCTCGGAGTGAAAGGGCAAGCTACCGGCTCGTAGTGACCCTGAAGAACGATTTTGCGCGCGTGTGTTTTGAAGATGCTCGCATCGAAGTCGATCGCGATCCCGTCGAATCAGCATTCGGAGCGAGGCGCTCGATTGTCTTGATCGCGGCTATTTAGTATACTCTTTAGTACGTGAAATGGCTTATCTCAGCCGAGCTTGAGGGTTCGCAAATGGCGTTGGACGTCGAAGTAAGCGTCGATGAACGCCGTGACCGGCTGTCGAAAGCAAATTTTATCGTACGTGTCGCGCTCGACGGCGTCCTAAGAGAAAGCATTTTCTCGGAGCAGTGACGATTTTTCAACGATAAAACGCATCATCGCCGAGCTGCGCAAAGATCGTCCGAAGAGAGTTATTTGTTTTTCTTTATTTATTTTTTTTTTCCGCGCGTGTGTCACAATCTTGGAGACTGAATAATATGCCTCGTCGAGTTCTTAAATCGACGGGAAACCCATCAGCAGCGCATGCCTTTCAAGTTCACGACCGCACGCGCGCACGTACAGGCGAGAGGAGCCGCGCACACGCGCGAGACCGAGCGGACGCGTAAGACCGGGGGAGGGGGGGGGGGGGGATGCACCTGCGCGACGCGACGACGACTCGCCGCTGCCAGCAACGCGCGGCCCGCGAGCATCTCTCCTCTTCTTTTTCGATTAGCGCCGAGGAGGACGTTATTCTCGAAGCGCGAAGTCGCTTTGATGGATCGCGAGTGACGCGCGCGACGCCCGGGGGCTTCCGTCGCGAGGATGCTCGCCTCCGTGGACGCCGCGCGTCTATTACGAACGGAATTTATTACCACGGCGCGATGTCGATCGCGACTATTTCCGCTGCATTATTATTGCTCGACGCTAAGCACCGGCAATCGCGCTAATGATGTTTAGAAACTGCGAGCGACCTTCGCCCGAAAATACCCATTGAAAAATCGATGTCCTCGCGTTTTACAAGCATCGCGTTCGGCGAAAAGAAAATGGAAAACAAAAAGGAACGAACAACGCGTGCGCAGCTGGTCCCCGCGTCTATCTTTGCGATTGTTGCTCTATCCCACTTTCCTACGTGCGAGCGAGGCGTCCTACCGATGGGCATGTGTGTTTTTACTTGGCAATTTGCGAACCTCGAGAGCTGTCGTGGAAGCAATTACAGCCGAGAAGACGGGAAGAAAAAACATAACACGATTGCCTTCGATGCGATAATTATATGCTGACCTCTCGACGCTGGAAATGTCAACGCTTTGAAAACAAAAGGAACGAAATAGCGCGGCCGACCGTAAGGATGCAGCGAGGAGCGGCGTCGTTACTTCAGCGAAGAAAAGCCGAGTGTACGGCAGAGACGGACCGCGGAAAATCGTTCGCGAACGCGGCCTTGATATTCACCGCCTTTTCCTCTTCTCTTTTGTTTTTATTTATAGCGACGAAAGAGCACGAGCGCGACGCCCGTATAATTCAAGCTCCCGCGCGAAAACGAATTTCCGATGTGTCCGCGCCCGGCTAAAATTAGAGCGCTCCGTACACGCGAACTAGCCGGCACGTGACTGGCGCGCTCGGCAGCTCGCGCGTACAATATTGCGCGCGATTATTGGAAACGAGCACCCGAGAAAACTGCGCCGCCGCTTTGTTTCGCCGCCGATAAAGCTTAATCTACGCAGCTTTGACGCTAACCGATCAGCTGTAGCTCGCATGCACTCGCCGCGCGCATGAAAACCGGTGGCCGCGTAGTAAAGAACGAAAAATCAAAACGTAACGAAGAAACGCTTTATAAGCATGCTTATGGTGTTGTCGAACGTACTGCGCAGTCCAGTGTCACGTCGACGTCACAGCGACGAGAAAAAAAAAGACACGATTCAGCCATTCCAACGCCAAACGACGTTAGGAAATTCACTCGGACGAAAAGACAAAAATTAGCTTTCATCCGTCCCACGTAATATACACACTGTTCAGCTCCCACGCGTCGAGAAAGAAACCTCAATTCGTAAAGAAACCTACGAACTTTCGTTCGAAGCGAGACTCCGGGGCTGCGGCGTGCCAGCCGGCAAAGCGCTCAGCACTTAGAAGTGGTCCCGCGAGCGTATCCGCGGCGTGACTGCGGCGAGTTTCGAAGCAAGGCACGCGGCAGCCGCCTTCGGCCGCGCGAGCGCGCGCGCACCGGCGGCTCTATTTTTTCCTCGCCCCGTCGCGGATAACGCTATTGGCATTTCGAAGAAGAAAAAAGAAAAAAAAAAAAAAAAAGAAGACGAAACGCCGCCAGCACGGGCTCGCGAGTCGGCCGCCGGAGAAAGCCATCTCTCTTGCCGCGCGTCTGCTTTTTCGTGGGTAATCCCGCCTTTGCGTCAGACCAGCGTTCGCTGATGTAATTACGATTGAGATTGAGTTCCCGGCGCCCGAGACGCGTCCGTGTGCGCCGCCTCTATCGGCGATAGAACACGGCCGAGCGGGCGCAGAGCTCGTCGAGAGGTTCGAAGGCGGAGATAATGAAAATGTCGAGAGTTCCGCCAAGGCCTCGCGGCACCCCGAAATTTTCCATTTCCCCGCGTGCGCGAGTACTTTCCTAGTGCGCTGCCGATCGATCCGACACATTGCGCAATCACAACAAACGAGATACACCAAAAACTTGGCGCGCGAGCTAACAGTCCCACCCGGTGAATCATTGCCCGCTATCAGTCGGATCTGCGAACGGGCAGCGAGGCAGAATGAACGCGGGGAATGCGGGACAGGCGACGAAAGTACAATCCGTCCGCCGCGATAGCAGCTAATCGGTCTCGCGCGTCGCGACGCTGACGTTTCGAAGGGAAGAACGAAGGCGGCAAATCCCCTCGCGACGCCGCCTTTCGTCTTCGCCGATCTAATTGCCCGATGCTACGCGGCTTTGCATCCTATTTTTTCGGCGGTGCGCCGACCTCCTCGTATCGTTTATTTCGTTCTATTTTCCCGCAACGCGGCGGAGTGAAAGGCTCGTTAAAATTGACCCCCCCCCCCCCCCCCCCCCCCCCACTCCGTGGCACGGCGATGGGCAAGCAATAATCATTACTACCTGGTGCGCAATGACGCAAAGGAGAGCAAAAGTATACGTATTACGCGCGAGAAAAGGACCAGAACTTCGCTGAAGATTATTGCACCGAACGACCGCTTGTTCCCTTATCTCATTTGGATCAGTCAATGACCGATACTTTGAAAAGCAAAAAAGACGCGACGATAATTGTATCGTCGAAGCTATGCGTTGTTATTGAAAAGCGTGAGGAAAATGACAATCCACATATTCTCGGCGTTGAATTTGTTGTTCTAGTCGCGGAGAAATTTTCCACTCAGAAACGAAAAGATCAATCGATCTCAATTCAATGTAGGTGACGTAATGCTCGCGCTCAGATGTAATGCCAATATTGTGCAACTTTTCTCTCTCTCTCTCTCTCTCTCTCTTTGTTTTCAATTGCGGCAAGCGACACGATCCACGTGGTTAATTTGTCGGCGACGACATCACCTGTTTAATAGCACTAAAAGCTCGCGTGAGCCGTGACTTTGGCAAAGTTTGCCCTCGTAGTTAGCACGTTTGTGTGCAACTATCGCAGCCTTATTTGTAGGGAGGCAGAAGGAAAAAGCACTGCGCGATGGAAGTACGCGTGGCAGCGCGTGCGCACCGGATATAATCGCCGTGGATACGACCTCACCTTGAATAATCGACGCGCTCAAACGACGTCGTTCGAACTCGTCCATTGCCTCTTCCTGACGAAAATCCACCTGGCGCGCGTACGCGTAACTGTAGTCGTCGATCTCCGCCCGTTACAAGAAGCCTCTCTCGCGCGGACGACGTAGATGGGGCGAGCTGACGTAAAAAGAGAAAAATCGAACGACGCGGAAAAATAGTACTGTTATAACGACGCTCAGTACACCGCGCGCGCATTTTCATCGCGGCGTCCTATCTTCGCGACCCTAAATTTTATGTGTTTGTTTGTTTTCGTTTCTTTTTTTTTTTGTTTTTTTTTTCAATTTCATAGAGCCGAGGAAAATCGCGTCGCGCTCGCGAGCCCAATCTAAAAACGATACGACGGGTAAATAAGGTGGCCGCGCGTGGAGCACCAGATAACGAAAAATGCTAATGACCGACAGCGACGAGAAGAAAGGGAAAGGAGCCGAGTCGACGAGCAGGCGTTAATGGTAAATAAATGGGAGCGCGAGCGGGAGGTGGCTGCCGAGTGGTCGTCGGATGAAAACGAGGAAACGGCCGAGAAGACGGGGAGCGCCGTCGCGGAAGCGCGAAAAAGCACGAAAAACTGGCCGACGCAGAAGAGAAGCGCGCGCGCACGCGCGCCAGAGGTCGAGACAATGCCAGCAGACGGAAGCTCGATGCTTTGGCGACGAGCCGGCTCGCGGTATCGCTCGTATCGTATAAATATATATGTGGGTAAGTGCGCGTCGCACTTGCCCGCTAGTTGTGCAAACGGCGTCGCGTCACGGAGCTTAAAATAAAGATCGCGCGCTGAATTCTTCGCCTCGGGATATTTATTTGTTCGCCATACTATGCCGATTTCGCGCCGCGACCTCTGGAGCGCGCTGCCAGAGGAGGACGATCGCGCGTGCGGCGCCTCGTTGCACGGGTACGCCGGAAACCTGCACGCGATTGGCACGCGCGGCAAAGCGCCGGGCAATTCGGCTTTCGTCGATGCGAAAATTCCAAAAGAATCGAACGCTCTCGCGCGGATTGGTAGCGATCGAATGGCGTTTCAATTCGGTCGAATCGCTGGCAATTTTGTCCATCCAATCGAAATATCATCATAACCGTCCGTTGAGCAAATAAACGGGCATTTTTCATTGCAACGATACACGCACCCGAAAGATCGGTCGGTAACATAGATTTACACTTCTCAAATGAAGAACTGTGCCCGCCCTACTTACGGGAGCTGTACCGATAGAAATGGATTATTTTTTGAAATCATCGATTGGATTGTCGAAAGCCAACCCTCTCGGTACAGCTCTTGCACGGGCATTCTCGGGAGGGTATTGTCTGTGTTACGGTAATTAACATTGCCGGCCATTTAAAAAATAGTCCATCCTTATGGGTGCAGCCACTTCGTGAGCGTGCCTACTGATCTTTCAGGTGCACGTATCGCTGTAATGAGAAATATACGCTTCTACGGTCGGGATATGCGTCGTAATAATTCATTTGAATGGACGGAGCTTAACGACCGAACTGTTTGCGATTATGAAAGTTATATGTTGCAAGTTGCCTTTCGTTTATTTTTTTATTTTTTCATGACGCACGCTCGTAACGATATTTTGATTAGGCGGGAAACTTGCGCGTGATTTTCGCTAACGATCCAACATATTCATTTTCATTTCTATAAAAATCGAATTCAATTTCTGCCGATGTGGTAGAATCCAACATTGCACGAGGTTGTTAATAAGCTTTGTTATCCTTATTAGCCACGAGCAGTATTTCCATAATTTTTTTCGGGTCCACTCTCGTTGTCGAGCTCCTTCGTCCCTCCTTTGCTCGCGCGCGCGCGAAATTACACGTATACGATTCGCGAATCCATTATTCCGTAAGAATAAAAGAAGAAGGCGTAACGACTCACGTAACTGTCACGTGTGGCAACCATCGAAGTCACACAACCGAGTATGGTGTATTATTTATATCTGTCGCTCGACTATACCAAAGCCGCCTTTTTCGAGCTTTGTCCTTGCAAATACAACAAACTTTCAGTCGCTTTACTTAACCGCGAATGACTAATCCGATTATATCCTTAAAATAGCGTTCGCGTAATTGATTCTCCTTAATAGTCTTTTTTCTTTCGTCATCGAGACAGCAGCAAAAAAAAAAAAAAAAAGAAAACAAACACGCGCTCCGATTTATTCTTCAACTGCAGATGGACGTCAACAATTGGCGAAGGTCAACGCGTGCATGTGTGCGTAACGCGACGATTCGCGAGTGTTACGCGCGCACGACACGTAAAAAAAAAAAGAGAGCTGTAAGTCGAATTGCAGATTGAAACGGTGGTACCGTAGAGAGACTGTTTCTAGCGTCATGTGCTAAAATTAACCGCTATAAATTGATGACGTGCTTGAATAACGTCCTTAGATTATCATTACCGCTCTCTGCGGCTTTTGCTACGTGCGTGCTATAATTGTAGGGTGTTACATCTGATGATATACATCGTTAGTCTGTCTGTCTGTCTCTGTCTCTCTCTCTCGCCATTTACATAATCTTTGTTGTAATACCCCCGCCGCGTGGTCAATTTACCCATCGTGTATTTCGAAAAAGTTATTGACGGCAATTATCATATCATCTAACTCTGCAAATAAACATTTCTCTTTTCGTCCGTGACAATAGACAAAGAACGACATTGTAAAGCAATTCTGCTGTTATCATTGATTGTGCAACGTTCATGTTACTAACCGTCGCTCGTCTCTCATTATCGCTGAAAAGAAACAAGCCGCGATCTATCGCGAGCGAGCCAAGATTGATAAGCGACGATTAGCAACGGAGAACACTGCCCTAACATTTTGTTGTTGTTGTTGTGTGTTTGTGTTAATAATGCTCACGTATTACCAAAAGTAGGTAGATGTGCATTCAACTGCATAAAGGCATCGCTTTGGCGTTCCTTTCTTCATTCATCTAAGCAGTTCGATTCGTGCGCACCCTCCATCCTCTCTCAACTCCCGTTCTCTCATGCTCACGCACTCATCATCACACTCACGATTGGGTTGGGAGGGCAACTCGCGTGGGGTTAGCTATGCATCTGGAACACATTGTTTCGTTGCATACAGTCGTCGGCCTCTTTTATCCCTCTTCGGCTCGTGGCAGCGGATGTTCAGTGTTCTTGAGGAGCGAGGAAGGATTTTGGGAACCTTTGCTTTACGAGTGTTGTAACGTGAATAGAGTGTGCCTGTGTATATTTTTGCGCAGCGAGGAAAACAAACAATATCTGGCGCGCGGAACAATTGCATTATTTCTTGTTGTTCCTTTTTCCTCTTCTTTTCATTCGAGAGAGCAATGTCAACAGCGAGTTCAAAAATAATTCTCGAGCCAAGCGCGAAAAACAGAAGGGTAGGAGAAAAGCCGAAGCAAGCGTTAAGGTCGATAAACGTTGCCGAACGAAAAAGAGAGGGAGAGAGAGAGAGAGAGAGAGAGAGAGAGAGAGAGAGAGAGAGAGAGAGAGAGAGAGAGAGAGAGAGAGAGAGAGAGAGAGAGAGAGAGAGAGAGAGAGAGAGAGACTTATGTAAAGCGAGCGAAACTTGGCCGGCGTGCCTTATTTATATTTACCGCGCGCGAAAGCCGCCTTATCCGCGTCGGAAAATTCGGGGACTTTTGGAAGGCGACCAAGCGATCGTTGGCTGCGCCGCGCGGGCACCAGAATACGCGCTCCCGCCCCGGGGACAAGAGCGTCGGCTTCGCGCGTCAATTACGAATCGCGGACGATCGCGCGCCTCCACTGACACACATCCCGGCCCCCCGCTCGCTATTTCGACGCGCGACGGAACTTTCGCCCGCCGATACCGACTCTCTCGAGCTCGAGCTCGCGCCCCGATGCGCATTGCCGCGCCGACCGCGCGAAACACGCGCGGGGGGGCCCCCACCTTTTGCTTTTTCACTGCCCCCCCCCCCCCTCGCGCCGCCTCCGCCGCCGCCATCACCCACCGCCGCCACGATCAACGCTCCGCCGCGCGGCGTCGTTCTCTCGAAGGGCAGGGTCGTCGTTACCCGCGAAGCGCGCGCGGCCGAACGTATTCCACTCCTTTTGTTGTGTTTTTTTCTTTCTCTTCTTTCTCGCCCGCTCATCGCGTTGCACTCGCCGATTCTATCGCGCCGGACGAGCTGCCGTTCCCATCGCGAGTCGCCTCTTCGATACGCGCGCGCCACGACAGGCGACCGCGCTGACACAACAAAGGAGTAGCGAACTCGCGGTGAAACGCTCGCAAGTAAGCCGCACGGCTTTCGCACAGCTGACTCGGTCGCGTAGCGCCGCGAAAGCCTCGCGCCGACGACTCCGAAAACAAAAAGACGACGTTGCCGCGCAAGCTCCGGGAACTCGCTCCGCGAGCAGCGCAACAGAACGTCGACCGAAAGAAACAGAACAGGAGCATAAACAAACGCTAGTTCTAACTGCGCAGATGCCGAGGAGGGGAAAAAACGGGGCCCGTGCCGCGGCTACGCGCATTGTACCTCGCGCGGAAAAAGGCAATGTTTCTTTTTTAGAGAAGAAAAAAAAAAAAAGAAAAACAAACGCTCGTACCGGCGAAATACACGTCGTAATAATTTATTTAAATGAACGGAGCTTAACGACGGGATTGTTTACGATTATGGAAGTTATATGTTGCAAATTGTCTTTCGTTTTCCTTTTTCTTTGCAATGTTTGAATAATATATTGCGTTAGAAAGTTTCTTCTTTTTTTCTCGTTGTCGTGAATAATCGTATCTAACGGATTCCTTTCTGAATACAGTATGGTAATTATAAGCTATTGTAGGGAACAAAAAAAAAAAGGTGAACTTTCACGCGCCGCGGAGAGAGAAAAATTATTTCGCTTTTGTTTTTATCGACAGACAGCACATCACCGTAAGTGAAAACTGGCAATTCAGTGAATATGAGAAACTCATCGCGCTCGCTAATTCTAATGCAACGCCACAGCCCAAGCGCGAATACGTATATAACTTATACCGTGTGCCGTTGTGACATTTCGAGTACGTATGTAGATGCCAAGTTTTATTCATGAGTTTCTTGGTGGATGAACTTGACGAGTAAAGGAGCACCGATCTTGCATCGTGGATTCTCGAAAGGAAAATTACTTACTTGGCTATTCTTTTTTTCAGTCGTCGCTTGTTTATTCACTCTGTATACCACTGCACGAAATTCGCTACCGACTTTAAAATGCCCCCGAATAAAAAAAGAAAATCTTGATCAACGTACAATCGATCAACGCTGTCGCGCGACATCTCTTAGTATGTAGGTCAAAATTTAGCCCAATAAAGAAAGCTAATGTTGCATTCTTCTGACAAAGCGGCTCGAGAACGATTGAATCATGCAACTCTCGCGTCAACGCTCACGCACACTGTCACTCGCAGATAGGAGTGTATAGCCTATAGCGCGCGCACAAAGACGCTGCCGCGAAAGAAATTTTCGCGCAACTGAAATTTTTGCTCCGGCGAGAAAAAAGAAAAGAAAATACATACATGTATTACGCGCGCGGGGAATGCATCGATCGATGGCGAGTGCGCGATGACGGCAGCGGCAACGGTGACGGTGGCGGCACAAAGCGATTCACTATTTATACAGAGCGGGCGGCTTATGTAATAATGCAACAAATACGGCATTAGAGCAGAGAGCGTGAAAGATGTGTATTCGCACCGTAAAGGATATTCTCAATCTATGCAACTGTAACGGAGTTGCGTAATGGCAACGTTTGAGTTTTTTTTTACGGAGCAAAGATAATTTAATTCGTGCGCACCTGACAATGTAAACAAAGCGTTCGAAAAATTAAAATTGCACAAAGGAGCTCAGCGTTTCTTTTTCTCTATGATGGTGTCCTTACGGAAGAAAGGGGAGTGAGATATACTATACACACAAGTATACAA